TCAATTTTAAGTCAATTTGAGGACTTACAATAGACATGTTAACTTTTTCGAATTCGCTACCTGAGCAAACTGACTCCTTAATGTTGAAAGTGGTTGCAATCAAATTATGATGATGGCTGGGGCGTGATTAATCACTGTGACAAAGCGTGTTTTTGCACATTTATTTTGAGGTATAAAAAGCTGTACCAGTTTTTCCACCATTTAGTGAGATCATCCGCTGTAATGCCAGATGAACTGTTAGAGCTGCGTCATCAACACTGCACCCGAGTGCTCTGCTGAGGGCATCAAGGTCTCTCTGCAAGTGCTGCCATAAGAACTGTCCCACAGACTCCACAGACTGCGACGGGCATGAAGGTATGATAAGCTGTGCAGTTACCTTAGAAGGAAAATCAAAGATTTGAAATTGTACTCAAGAGTGAGATATATGTGAATGAAATGCTTTTCTTAATCAACCCATGTGGGTATCTATTTCAGCACATTTAACTGGCTTGTTGGGTGAGACAAATATATCTCCAGTCAGAAACTATTTTTGGAGACAGTGTGGCAGAGTGGCAGTGGTTGGTGTGCTGGACTTATAATAAAACATGAACCGTAAGCTCTTCTTCTTTATATCAAATCTACATAAAATCATTGGCGTTCTAAATCAGAATTAATTCTCCAGAGGGGTCAAGAGCTAATATGAAAAGTTACCAAATCGTTCACTCTCTGGCAGCCGCTCAATGCGTCTACAGAATAATCACCTGTGGATATTTGGATGCTCCCATGACCATAGCCGAGTGCATGATAATCCTCAATAGACCGCACACTATCGGTGGCATGTCTCTCTGAGGTTCTGCGTTGGTAGGTCGCGAGCCAGGTTCTCCGAGTGCATGGCCAGTTTTGGTCCTGTCTTTCCTGGAAATAGAATGTTGAAAAGTAGATACCACCTAGATAATCACTTACGCTTTAAAGTTCTTACGATGGATACGCCATAGCCAATGCATCGTGAAAGAAATGGGCAGATTGAGACTACATGTGGCTACTGATATAGAACAAATTTTAGAACATTGAACAGAAATAGAGGATGTATAGTAATACTACAAGGTTGTGTAGTTCACATGCAATACAGAAAATCCGCTGAATTTCACATATTTATGAGTACCTTGTTACACGAGTCAAGAGTATAGTATCTAATTGTCATTCAGCCAATAATTAAATGGTATCAACTTTAATCATATTAAGAATGATTCATAGAGGCTAGCTTTATAGTCTCACGGTTCCTCTATCCTCTAATCTGGAATAATAATTAACCTTCTCTTAAAATTGCTTGTTATTTATAATTTTCTTACTTCCTCTCAATTTCATATTTGTGAGACTTGCTACATACACCAAGGTATTCGGTGTTTAAGGATGTTCCTTCATACCGCGTTTTAGGATATTCCGCCTTTCCGCCGTTCCACGGTTAACCGTTCCAGCATTCCATGAAATAAGGTCACCCCGTTAAATTCAAGGTATCGTATTTTACACCTTACTCGCTTCGTAAATTTAGCGGCTATTTAGGGTATGTTGCTTATTCGAACGATAAAAGGCTCTCTTCGAAGAAATAAAATTCTCCCCAAAGTTCCAATGATGCGCAGATAACACCTATTTACACATTTGTGCAAGGAAAAGTACTGTCTTCTAGTGATTAAAATTACGCATCAGAAAGATTGAAAACTTTTTCTAGATGTTCATCGCATTCTGTTATGTCACGGCAAGAACTTAAAGCGTAATGCTTTTGAGGAGGCAGTGTGGCCGAGTGGTTAGAGTGTCGGACTTGTAATCCGCCGCTCCCAGGTTCGAGTCCCGCCCTGACCACTGGATCTGTTTCACGGTAGCCCCGAGTTCAGATCCTTGGCCACGCTTGTAAATAGCCAACTCGTTTGCCTCCGGCCGGTTGGGGTTCGTAATGATGTTCTTAATGATATTATGTTCAATTTAGACCATTTGTTTCATTTGTTTGCAAGGACCACAATGGAAACTACTGGTTCACCAGTAATTGTGTAATCCTATAAAAAGAATTTTTTTTTTAATGCCTTAGTGGCAATAGGCCAGAAATCACGAAAGGAAAGAATATAAATGTGTATCGAGTGGGGATGTAGAACCAATAAGATACAAAAAATAAAAACAAAAAGAATTACTAGGAAACATCGTGTCAAAATTGAGTCAAGATCGGAATTGCATTGTTATTTCGCATCACTCACTCACTTATTCACTCATCTCCTTACATAGTGACCTCGCCTCTCATCATATAGGAGGCAGTAGCCACAAAAACCGAGATCAAACGTTAAAGGTGATCATTTGAATCAATTCAAGAGAATATAAACTACACAGTTTATATACTCTTGATCCAATTTAATCTCTTCCTTCCCTAAACATCTTCTTGACTTCTTGGCATATTAATTTCTATTTCTGTGTTTCTACCTTCCAAACTACCATTTTGTAGCCTCCCTTTCGATAAGGTTCGTCTTTCAAATTGCACATAAGAATCTAAACGTAGCTCTTTTTTTGAAAGAAATTCGTCCTTAACATAGATCCATCAGGATGAAAAAAAACCCGTCATTTCCCCAGAACATCTTTAAGTCGTTCAAATAAGATGTCTTCAAATTACTTCTCGGAAACTCTGTATTCTCCTAAGAACTTGTGCTGTTCCCCTCCCAATACTTTTCCACACTCTGGACAAACGCCCTTCTGCATTGGTTGAGTACACTATATTAAAAGAAATAAAATCCATGTTAGTAAGCACAATGAGAACCGGTGACTGCGTGAAGTACGTTAGGTCCTATCCCTACACAGACAACGGACATCGTATTTACACACCCCTCGCCCCAACCCATTGTGGCAATTCTCTATGAACGCAATCCTTGATTTCCTGGTCTTTGATGGTCTGTGGGGGATCCAGAAAGAGGTTTCAAGGATTCCGGACCATCATCCTCGTCCCTTCACCGTCAGACCTCTGCATGGTACCTTCCCTTCCCTTAGCACGTCAAAATTTTGCCAAAGACACGATCGCATATTATTACTCAACTTGAACTACTTGAATTACTTATTTTCAAGAAATTCGGGTCTTATTAACGTTTCAGTGTCCACTTAAAAAAAATCATGTCTCCCTACCTCCCCAATGAAATACAGGTATCTGCAATTACCACACTCTGAAAGAAAGTAAGGTGTGAGAAATCATTTCAGAGCTCTCGTTTTAACGCTAGAATTGTAAATTAGGTTTTGTGAATGCTGCTAAATTTAAAGGTAAACATTTAAAAGTAAACGACTCTTACCATACCACTCTCCAACCCATTGTGTACCCTTCATAGTTTCAGCGATGGCGTTAATGCACTCGATATAGTTATCCTCAGGCATTGTTGGTAGGAAAGAATTCTGTAACAAGACATCAACGGAGAAATCAGATAACCAATTCCATTGGTTTGTGGGAAACAAAATTTCACTTTCCAGATAAACCAAATAACTCACTAAAGTTTCTCGAATTAAAGGTTAAATCTTCACAAAATATTGTTTACAACTCACAAATCTCTCCTTTCTAAAAACGTCACCGATGCGTTTTTTTTTCCACGAGGTACGTAATTTGAAACGAGGCTCAAATCATTTCAAAACGAGGTTGTCAATCACCAAAGTCACGAAACTCACAAAAAATAGTCACGACAGGCTTCACCCGAGTCAACGAAATTTGATAGAAAAAAGGAACAAGACATGCAGATGCTTTTTACCACCAGTATAACATTAAACTTGTAAAATAAATCATCCTTATCGTTATCATTACGGCCTATACGGTGGGATAAACATCAACCGAGTGATCAAAACACTTCAGTTTTTTTTCTCAGGATAATAGACCTGTGTAAACTTACTTTCATAATCGATGGATCAGTCATAAGAGAATAAAGAGGCTGAGCCAAGGATTCTGCACCAGTGCATTGCAAAGCCACAACTGTGTGGATTACAATTTCAGCCAAGGCGTGCTCCTGTGGACTCTTTCCGTTGTAGATTTGAAGTTCCTTCAGATTTCCACCTTGTTTGTTTTCAAGAAGTTCCTTAGCGAAAGGTCGGGCCTACATAATATTGATAACTTATTAAAAATAATTACAATAATTACCTTTTTTAAAGCCTAAACAACGAAATAGTGAGACAATTCCTTTGGCTTCACCCGAGTCAACGACATTTAAAGGGCCACGCTCAGGATGCATTCGGAAGTGGTGGCCTTTCTCAGTATTTTCTGTATTACAGGAAAGGAAAACCTACCATGTGTGTAATATTATTCGACTTAATCTTTACAATCTTAATCGAGAACCGGCTTTTTATACCTTCATCTGGTTTCTTCATGTGTCTATCGTCCATTTGCTACGTATTTTTGACGCTTCATTCCGCGTTCGCTATAGTGAAGCCATCGAAAAAGATCGTCCTGCACGACGAAAAGCCACCGTATTGCATGGCTGACTAGATCACAGGATTCAAAAGCATGGAATGAGCGAAATACAGCTTTGGTATTTGGTAAGAAAACGAGCAAAGAGTTTGCAGAAGCCCTGCTACACAGCATTTCGGTGGAAAGTCAATAGAAATCTCCTCTCAGCCTCTTGTGTGACCGACTGACGGGGGAACGTTTACAATCCATCTCAAACCTAATCAGAGGCAGCCCAAGCTCACTACTAGAAAAGCGGACGTGACTCTTACCGTGTTGCGCAACGTTTTATATTTATAAAGGTTTGTATGGGATGTTATCGGTTTGCCTTAAAAGAGAGAAAAAAATGTCTTGAACACCAACATAGCGGTAACTCGCCGAAAACGCTTCAAAATGGCCTGAGACGCTCGGAATCAACAAAGGAAACAACAAGGCAATAAGGTAAGCCCATTTTATTTCAAAACAAGACATTTTTTTCTCTCTTTTAAGGCAAACCGATAACATCCCATACAAACCTTTATAAATATAAAACCTTACGCAACACGGTAAGAGTCACGTCCCCTTTTCTAGAAGTGAGCTTGGGCTGCCTGTGGCCTAATCCCATGTTGATGTAAGGTTTTTGAGTAACTTTTCACTCGCGGTGAGACAAACTCAGATACGTTTCTCTTAAATTTCATCTTGAAATCCCATATTCTTTAAGCATATTTTGAAAGATTGTGAGCTTTTATTGAACGTGAAACATGATGAATTTATACATTGAAGCTTGCGCCTCTCGCCTGATATATTGACACGAATTAAAAATTCAAGTATTCGAAGGTCTTCGTCTCTTTGTAATGCGTTCAGACGTGAAGGGTCGATTCCCTGTTAAACCTCCCGCTATCGTGCACTTTTGTGTTTCTGAGTCTGATGTTTCAACCGTGAACAGTGATTGTATCTTGGTACATGTACAGAATCAAGAGAAAATAGTCTCTTGACAGAATGTAGCTGTTTTCCCTTCTTACAAATTCTACTATTTTGTCTTTGCTTCTGTTCCACAGACAGAAAACGTCGTCAACATACCTCTTCCAAAGTAGCGATTCAGTTGTGCTCTGGGTGATAATACCGTTCTTCTATCTTTGCCATGAAAATGTTGGCAAAAGCCACTGCCGCAGTGGTATTCTTTGCCGTTTCCGGTCGGTTTGTAAGAAAAAGTATCGAGTTCCTGGATTATCCTTCTATTTTGTTTTTCGTTCTGTTCCACAGACAGAAAACGTTTTAAACATACTTCTTCCTCCACCATGGCGATTTAGTTTTGCTCTGAGTGATACTACGCTATTTATAATTTTGCATTAAAAATATTGGCAAAAGCCACTGCCGCAGTGGTATTCTTTGCTGTTTCCGTTCGGTGTGTGAGAAAAAGTATCAAGTTCCTGGATAATAACAATAACAATGGTGCGCAAAGCACACTGGCTGAGCGTGGCCCTTTCATAGAAAAATTAGACAATTTTTGCTCCTTTCTTTTCCAGCCACCAGACGTTGATCTTGCAGTAAACATACGTGCATATTTTTAATTGGACTCACCGTTTCATTTAGGTATTCTCCATTTCTTACGAAATCATCAAGCTTTACCCTCACCTGACAAAGATGGAATGATGAAAAAATTCTATTTTCCGACTGCAGTAAGAGGCAGTACGTCGAATAAGCGAGGAGCAAGGATGAATAAGAATACAGAACACAATTAAAGTTTCTGTGAAAAGTAGACATCACTTCTCCTTACCTCCTGGGACAAATTCTGTGTCTGAACTGGACGAACATTTGCCATCGTTATTTCACGATAAATAACTAGGAGCAGAAGTACATTTTTTAAGACACCCTTTAATCTTGCTTCCTAGAGAAAAAAATGTTCCAGAGTTCTTATGGTGCCTTGTTTTCACACTTTGCACAAGAGATATACGATGGTTGACTTAACCTTCATTGTTTAAAAAGTTCCTACGCTTCACTTACCCAAGTGGTTCTACAATGCAAAACTTTCTCAAACTCATTAATTATTCATAAGGTGATCATCCAACCAAGACACGCCAATTTCGTCACGTGCATGTGGTTTGAAACCCCGGTGAAACACTGGAATGACGCGCAATCCATGAGTTTCACATTATATCAAACCCTTGAGTTTGATAGAGCATCAAACTCTAGTGAACTGATTTCTTAATTTGAATAACAACGAAAAACTTGCCGACCTGTGAAAAATTCGTATTTCCTTTTTTTTATTCCTGAGGCGCGATTGAGAAGCCATTTCAAAAACTCCTGCACCTGGTTTCATCAGGGTTTCCAAACACTCGAAACAGATAAAAGCACTCGGCGCTCGGCCTCATGTTTTCATCAGTTTTCTCGTGTTTGAAACCCTGATGAAACCCTCGCAATCGTTTTTGAAATAGTACATGAAATATTTAACTTCCAAGTCATCTAAGATTAACTCAGTCGTTTACATTTAACTTGGTGTACCCAGATACTAACGACTTAATAGAATCAGTTAGTAGCCACAACAATCGACAACCTTCACCTACAACTATTCAACAATAACGAAAATGAACAGTACCATGAAAAATACAGATACTGATAAGAGCTACACAGTGAGCACCAACCGTGATGGCAGTAACAAAATCTTGGATGTTCCCACTGACAACGGTTTTGGCCAGCCCCTCGCGGACTGCGCGATACTGGTTTCCATGAACAATAAACCTGTCTTGGAACACATCCTCATCCTTAAGATTGAAGATTGAAGATCAATGATAAGGAACATGTTTAAGTCAACTATAAAAAGAACCCCGTCTTTACACATTACAAAAAGGTGTTCTAAAATGAGCGACAAAGAAAAAGGAAGGAAAAATTAGGATTTTCAACATTTTTCTCTTTTTTCTTCTGAAGCGCTCGACCATTGCATTTTGGATCACATGATCCACGAAATCCTCCTGTTATTCATATTTCTTCCCTTTCCCACTTATGTATACCATTTTTCGTTTAAGATTCAGTTCTCACACATTTCAACAAAATCCATTCAATGATCATACATCATCCTTACTTGCTGTCGAGCCTCTGTAGGTAGAATCCACGCCAGCTCCTCAAATTCACCCAGAGTTCGAACACAGTCCAAGCCATAACGCCTGACAAGCTGTTTCAGGAGGTAAAGCTGCGGTGTAGAACTTGACACTTCCATGCAAAGCTTCCGTGCAGAATTAAATAACGACTTCAATTCTATCTTGGCGTCTTTGTAGCTGCTGTCTCCCTCAATGAACAATTTGTAAAGGTATTCTACCACCAAAGATAAAACGTAACGTCCTTTGGCAACTCCATCTAGGGATTGAGCGCTCATTTCCGCTGAGTTTTCATCTCCGTCACTAAGAGCTTTAAATGACTCTTCGCAAGTTCTTTTGGCGTGTCTGAGTTTAAATATTAATGTCGAGTCTGCCACTTTGGCTTGATAACGGCTTCTAAGAATGTCCTAAAGAAAAAGCAACCATACCTGAGAACAAAAATGACTTGATATATATTTATTTTTTTTATTACTATATAATTTTTTTTTATTTATACAGGATAGCCCCTTCAGTGTAGTAACAACTGGTATCAACGGGGATCCTGTTACCCACCCATCCCACCCCCAGGGGAGCACATCCATCACACAGTAATCTCGTGCGTGGGAAATTAACGTCTCCTGCCCCTAACCCTGCAGGAGACGGGACCTCCATTTATTCGTCCCTATCCGAGAAGACTAGAATATCTAACCATTTCTTGATGTTATAGAAAGGTAGCATGTTCTTCTCAATTATTTTAAGACCCTGAGTGTTGGTCCGGCCGGGGCTCGAACCCTCGACCTCCCGCGCAACAGTCCAGCACTCTATCCATTGAGCTAACCGGGAGGCGGTCATTCATTCATACAATTAAAAGTGTATTGAGTAAAATCTCGGGTATGCGAAGTAAATTTAGTTTCAGTTTAACTACTCTCACCTCCATACACTGGACACATAAAAAGCAGACCTCTTTAACGTGCGAAGGTTCTGGTTTTAAGTTCTGAGCCCCTTGTAAGAAAGCTCCCAGGTGTTCTTTCACCAACTTAGTCAACTTTGCACTGTTTCCAATGAAAAGAAAAAATTTAGTGCATAAGTCCTCATTGATTGGAAAATTTTAAATGCACTGAAGATAAGAGAAAGAGATAAGATAATATCGGAAATGTCAAAAGTTTAAGTGCTGTAATATTTTTACCTTGAGCGCAATAGCTGTTGGAGAAGAAATGAACGCACCACAGGGGTGGGGTCGATAGCATAATCAGCGAAGGGTGAGAAATCCTTTGTCTGAGTTGACTGATGACCGATAACATACTGCATGAGATGACTGATAGCTTCCTGTTCGAGGTCCTTTGATACTGTATCCCCAAAACAGAATATTGATACCAGCTCCATAAAAAAGGCATTGCATCGGCGACGTAGCTCGGAGGCAGTCTCTTCGTTGGTCCTGTAGTTATAAAGAGAGCATGAAGAATACGAGTATAGAGTAAAGGTTCCTTATTTAACAAATTCGATATTAATACTAGATTCGATAAAACTTCAACATCGGCCTTGAACCATGGTTTCGCGCCATTAGTGAAACATAGGTTGAGCTCCTTGCATCTAAGGCTGTGAGAAACTAGGTATACACGGTGAAACTTATTAGATTTTGGCGCGCATAGAGAGCTACGTAAGCCGGCGTAAGCGCCAGTTGCTCGACATACCTGCGTGGCCCGTGCGACGAAATAACTTCACGGGATTGGCAAAGTTTCAGTTACAGCAAATTATACAAAAAATCTAGAAAGATTTAAGCTTACATCTCGTTTAACGTTTAAAGCGACTTATCAACGCCTGCAACCATTGTGTTTTATACGAACCTCGCAAACTTTTAAACACGTTCTCTTGTACGATGAATATATGAAGTTCATATATTTTGAACTGCGGTTATAGATACGTATGATGCACGATCCTCGCAGT